GTAGTAGTAGTAGTAGTCGTAGGAGTAGTAGTAATAGTAGTAGTAGTAGTAGTAGTAGTAGTAGTAGTAGCAGTAGCAGTAGTAGTAGTAGTAGTAGTAGTAGTAGTAGTAGTAGTTAGTAGTAGTAGTAGTCGTCGTCGTCGTCGTCGTCGTCGTCGTCGTCGTCGTCATGGTATAGTGGAAGTGGTGGTAGTTGTACGGTGATTACGGCGATCATTTGTAACGATGCGGATTTTTAAATACCTAATTATGCTACCTCCGTTGGCTTCGCGCCCGGGTCGCCAATCCCATTGTTAAATGAGCGGGTCTCCCTCCACCCCTCCACCCCCCCTCTCTGCACCTCCACCACTCGACCTCCACCCCTCCCCTCCACTCCGTGGAGAGTGAAGGAGACAGGGAGAGGGTGGAGGGCTGGAGCGCGGGAAGGGGATAGATGCGGGTGGAGGGGTCGAGGGTGGAGGTGGAGTGGTGGAGGCAGCAGCAGCCGTAGTGGAGCCAAGAAGCAATCGATTTGGATCGAGTTTCGACAGCCCCCACACCGCCGCTCAGAGCGACCGCGGCGTGCAACTGACCCTGCTTCTTCGCATGGAATTCCTGACAGGTTAATCGTCTGTCCTCCTTTGCCGACTGCGGCTCTCCCACCGCCCACCGCCCCCAGCTGCACAAAGGCGTGTTTGTTGAGGACACTGTGCGGCAGCCCTTGCCCTAGCACTTGCACCACGGCAGTTGCAGTAGATAGTTTAGTAGTAGTAGTAGTAGTCGTCGTCGTCGTCGTGGTGGTGGTGGTGGTGGTGGTGGTGGTGGCGGTGGCGGGGTTTGTGGTGGTGGCTGTAGCAGCAGGAATATGAGCAGCCGTAGTATAGTGGCGAGGGCAAATCGCGCGCGCGCGCGCGCCCCAACTGAAGCCAAGCTCTAAAGACAGACTCCGACTGTGCGGCTGGCAGTACTGGACATGACGTCGGTGAGCAAGCCGTTCATATCCTGAGATAGAGAGAGACTTTTCCGTGTCACTATTCCGATCACCGCAAGAAATGAAGCTCTATGCCTACTCGAACGGGCTGAGCACGAGGCTGATTTCGTGCTCGCAAAACAATATCGCATGGGCCTTGGCCCGTGGTGCATGATTGGCATGGAACTCCCCAGGACCCGAAGCTCAAGTGCGGCAGCTGAGCTCCTCACACCGAAGTGTTCCGGTACCGCGTATAGATGGCAAAGATCACATAGTAGAGTGGCAGCGCCCTGGGGTGATCGGAAGCAGCGAGCAGGGGGCAATCATACAGAAGAGTTGAGCTTGCATGAGTGTTTTCGATGTCAGTAGCAAGTATCTGGCTGTGCCTGAGTGACTCATATTCAGAATTGTTCTCAAAAACGGTGTGCAACATGCAGCAGGAAGGAGTACAAGTATGATGAGGAACGTACTTCTCAAAGCCAACTGTTTTCGGACTTCGTTCCGTCCCGCGCCTCTCGACTCAAGCTCGGCTGACAGGCAGGGACAGACGACAACTCGATGCTGACCGTGACAAATTGCCATACTGTAGTCGTCATCTAATTACGGCGCAGGGGTTCTAGGGTTGGGAAAGTCCCCAACATCAAGAAGTTCACCATGAGTCTCAAGAGAGCTCTAGACTCTGGATTCGATGCTCAAGTCGTCTGGGCATGCAAAGCCCAGTTCCGCGTACTTCCGCTTGCCAAACCGCGCTCCCACCACAGCACCATGCATATTTTGGATGCAAAACGCTCGCTCGCGTCCCAAAAGTGTGCTCTGGCAAAGGTCCCCCCCGCACATATCTTGGAGTGCGCATCATCTGCCGCAGTACGGTGGAGCACGGTGCGCATTTTGGACTCATGGTGGTCTTGGTAGCCTCAGGGGTGCTCCAAGATAGTTGGTGAATGCGCCTTAGACTGGGAATGCCACGAAGCGCTCTTTCACTGCTCGGGATCTGAATCGCGTAACTTGCGCGGCATCCATGTGGTGATCGCCACACTGATGCACACAAGTGTCCAAGCTCCCCGCATCACGGAAATGAGCATGGGGACCATGGTGTGAACCTCTTTGCAGCTCTCCCTGCCCTTTATGTACATGATGTAACCTGTATACATCTATGGTATTTAGACGGTCTCGGTGTGGCCACACACACGCAGACACACACACACACACACAGACACCGGGCTACCCACGTACAGCAGAGGGGTGATGGTAGCAAGGATGGTCGTGACCGTCTGCAGCGTCTTCGCATAGAGGGACAAATCGACGCTGGCCCTCGGGAGTCGAAAACACAGCTCAGATGATATGCCGCTCCTGCAGATGCATCTCAGTGAGCTGCGAAGGCAGCTTTACGCTTGGTTCTAGATTCTAGAGAGGTGCTGGTCAGAGTCAAGCACTAGCACTGTGAAACTCTTCCACTCACCTTAACCGTCGCGCCCCTTACCAACAACCTCCACATGTAGTAGTCACTGCTGGCCGAGGCACAGGTCACCAACCAGGCGGCTCATGATGCGACCCACAGGCTGCTTGTCAAAGAAGCGGTCGATGGGTGCTCGAAGGAGCCTCCAGCATCAAAAACTGCTCTGTGCATGATGCTGGTTCGATAGCATCCGATAGCAGGAATGTGAAAGTCCACAGCCGTTCAGATTGAGTCCTTTTTTGCCTCCCGCCTGGCTCGGGCGAACCTACGATGCAGGATATGAGTCGCTTGGGTCCCTGGCTTGTGGATCACTCGGTTGTGGATTGCGGCGGACAGGCGCATGGTGAACGTCCTGATCAAAGGCTGTGCATGGTTTTGCTTACCTCATCTGTTGACCTCGTCGCAGAAGTGGTTGCGAATTGCGAGTCACTCCTCGGAAGCAAACTCTTCCGAGACCCGGACTGACCCTGGTGCCATCCGAACACGAAGAACACCAGCGAAAGCAGCAGCCAAAACCTTGGGAAAACACAAGAAACTCTCGCAGGGCCCCGGTGAATGCGGTACTGCAGTCGGACAGCCATGGCCTCTTGCACGATTAGCACGAGACGCCCCACCCGCATTCACTGATTCACCGCCGTCGCAATCTGTGAATCCAACTTTCAATTAGATAATCAAACTTAATTAATCGCTGTGGCTCCCAGCATGTAGGCCGTCAGGTACGGGCGCGAGCTGGCCTCACGGTTGCTCGAGAGAGGCGCACACACACACACACATGCACACATGCACCCAGAAGTGCCAGCTCAGCTTCCAGCTGATGGATTGAGGGCCAGCTCGTTCGACCAATGTGCTATAACCTTTTGACCAGGAGATACACAGCTTGACAACTCGAAGGATGTCGCCGCTGCATCACATACTTGTATTCTCGGAACAGAGCTCCGATAGCTTCAAGGAAGGCTTTCGTGCAAGCCGCGCAAGACTTCCTAGTCCTAGATCAGCGAAAAGTATAAAAGTGTGCCTTCCGACTCAAAACTTGAGATTGCAAACATCCTCTGGGGACTAACGACGGCAAAGTTGTGACTCAGCTAGGCCCCCGGCTAAGTCGCAAAGGAGGAAGACATAGACCATTACGGCCAGCAAAAGGCACGCCTTGCGCAGGCATGCTATGAGCCGCGCAGCTTCACTCAGATTTGCAGAAGGGGCACTTCTGATAATGGGCAGCCACGAGAGACGACGCTTCACATGCTGGAGGTCCGCCACAAGCAAACTGTCGTTTGAGGATCAGGCGGAAAACAAGTGGCGGTATCGGCCAATCTGTGCGTAGTCTTTCACCAGCGCGATCTCGGAAAGTGCCGTGGCCAGGTCATGGATTCTCCAAGTGGCGGGGAACCAGGTGCCATTCTCGAGGCATGAAAATCCAACCCGTCCAACCCCATAAGAACTGGCTTCGCCCTGGGAACCCCCACCGAGGGCCGCCCTTCGAATTCTTCTTCGCGCAGAGATTCTGCCCTAGGCCGTCGCAGGCTGCAGCTCCGCAAAGCGATTCTGCGGACACGTACACCATCTCGTATGCCGTATCAGCAAACTTGCTCAGCATACGCATGCCTACTTTCAGAGTCTCCCCTCCTCTGTTTTCAAGGACCGTGCTGCTCGCGGCTTTTTGAAGCTTTTCGCTTCACTTTTGGCCTCAGCTCGACGCTACCACTACAATGCGGTCTCTGCACTCCTCGTCTTGCCTCGGGGACTCGAGGCCCCGTGCGAAAGACCTGACCCCAAAAACCTCTCGCTGTTTACAGAAAACACAGAAATCCAGCCGTTCCCAAACAATTATTGGACAGTTCGGCAAAGCTGGAAACATGCATGGAGCCGAGATGCGGTGTCTTAACTCCACGTGAATAGACCGCACAGCTCGAAAAGGCAGGCAGGAGGCAACAACAGCCCGGAGGAGCCAAGCAGGGGCAAAACGGGCCGTCCGCAACCCGCTTGGACCCAGACTCTGCATCCTCCTGCGCTGTGAAGGACTCGCCCTCGCGGCTGCTAAGCAGCATCTGGAAGGCCTGTCGTAGTAGCCCGTGGAAAGATCTTTTCTGGGGGACGAGCTGCTGGAACCAGATCGAAGGTTGTCGGTTATCGTCTCTATATCAGGCCCTCCGGAGCTCGAAGCTCACCTTGTAAATTGTAAGTCTGTACCTGCAGATTCCCGACGGGGCTACCATGAGACAAATCAAACAACCGGCAAAACACATGCGGCCGGCTAGTTGAACTTGAAAGTTGGCGGATTTCGGCTGATGGGGGCGGGGGTGCAATCCCACCATTCTTTTTGCAACGTTTTGGTTGTTGGGACTCACCTTTTGACTGCATCAGAGAGTGCGGTAACATAGAAGCTGAAATAAAGTTTGAGTCTACTTCGCAGGGTGGGGCCTCGCTGGCCATGACCTCGAGGCATGTCCAGTCATAGGCACAGACGACCAAGGCAAGGTTGGGCCGAGAGCCAGGCTGTTTCGGGATCTCCTTGGAGTACGACCTGCAAATGCTTTAGGCTGTAGGCCTCTGTTTGCCATGCTTCGACCTCTCTTTCGGCGGCTTCGCGGGATGACGGCATCGGGACAACCGCCCTGCTATGCTTGTATCTTGGACATCGATGAGCGTCTGCTTTCCAAGCCGGCCTTCCCTTCGGCCATCAGCACCTGACTCAACCAGTAAACTATCACACCACTGTGTGACTCGTCGATTTAGTACTCTGCCAGCAGGAAATGGACAGGTGCAACGGAGTATCACGAAGCCGTAGCGGCAGCAACGGCGGATTCTAGAAGGCTTGCGCTCGCACGGAGCGCGAGAAAGGACACGCATATTGGCCAAGGGCTCCGTATAGCTGCATTTCTAGTTCCTCAAGAACAGCTGACATCGCTCACGATCTTGCGCTCAAGCAGCGGTAACTCGTTGAGAACGGTACTTGATCCAAACTCGATTAATCGAAACCTAACAAGCCTTTCCGTGCCACATGCCGACTCTATCTTGAGCAGAGGCGCAAAATGAGAATGTCCAGGCAGCAATATGCTGGAGGAGCTAGGGGACCCCTCTCTGGGACTGTCAACCGTAGAGGAATCCACTCAGGTCGCGGCTACACTGTGAAACTTGCTAAGACGCTCGACATCGGGCTGCGTGGCCTCAGCTGGAGCAATTTCCAGTTGAGCAGAGTTGGCAAGACTTTGCCGGGCTCGGCTCTTCTGCTCAACAACTTTGATGGCGCTCGCCATACAAGTTCACAAAGACACAAGGCAGTGTGCAAGGCATGAAGCAGATTCCGGACTTGCAACACCCGGGCTCAGGCAGTTTCGCCGCCGAAAGGAAGTGGATAAAACAATAGACGGCGAGAGTGCAAGAAGTCAACCACATGTCTCAATACTTCCTCTTGGGGCACGAGCCACGACGCAAGTTCTACCTGGCAGACTGAAAAGAGATGCACAGAAGGCTCAGGAGCAATGTCTCTGTTGGAAACTTGGTTCAGAAGTCGGTCGTGTCCGAGCTCAACTCTAGCATATTCATCCAGAACCCCAGCCGAACACTAAACTCTTGGCACCAGACCATGCCAGACATTCTGACACAAGCCACAAACAAGCGACAACCTGCCTTCCATGAGCCTTCCAAGCAGAAGCTTCTCCATGATGACTTTGGCCGTTGGCCTCGTTGGGTGAAGTGTCAGCTCGGGCCACTGCTCGCACCATTCAACAATAACTTTCTTTGTGAGTGGCAAGTCAGTGAGAGAGGTATGTGTGAGTTTGATAAGAGAGATTTCGGGGCTGTGAGCTTCTTGTGGGCGGCAAGTGTGAATTTTCTGTGAGCTGCTTTTCTCAGAGCTGTGGAATCCCCCTCACAGATTGAGAGCGGCCCACAGTCCCCGCTCGCAGCAATCTCATGAACTCCTTTCACAGATTCGAAGCCGGCCTCCCCTCACCGGCACCCCCTGCGGTTTTGCGCTAGAACGGAAACTTAATTTTGTGAGCGTTTGTGACAGCGCCTATGAGATTTCTGCGAGCGGGCCCCAAGCGGCCCTCCTCCGTGAGGGGCGTGAGGGGCCCTCACAACTGGGGGTCCATCGGTCAGAGAAAACTCGCGCAGGAATCTCAAAACCTGCAGTACAAACATCTCAGAGCTTGCAAACACCCTGAGAGCGGTCTAGCCGGGGACCAGACGCATCGACGGATGCAAAGGGGTCATCCATCAAGACTAGCCTCATGCAGGGCACATTGTTTTGAGTCAGATGTAGAGAAGTCGGCACTTGCAAGAATGAGCCACACGCTAACTGTAACTAATGCACTTCGAGCCGAATTGGAAAGCTACTCAAGAAACAAGACGCAGTAATTCCTGGATCAGAAAGAAGATCTTGAGTGAAGATCTGAAGAATCCTGTCTACCTACCATGGTTCGCGGTCACTCCAAGGATATGGCTGTGAATTCAGGTGGTACGCAGCGCGGGCCATGGAGACCTTGAGGTGCGCAAGGCATGAAGTGTTGCGAGTCTCTACGTCTAAAACTGCGGTCGCGCTTGGACGGTGAAGTGCGAACTTAACAAGTCTTTCGATTTTCCCATGTCTGATGTTATTGCTTCTGTGTTGCGCACCCCTCTCGCTCAGGTACGATGGAACACTGAGTCAGCAATGGAAGCTGCGCCAGGCTCTGCAGGATCAATACCATCATGGTGCTGTGCGAATGATCAAGGCTGCCACCCTTGCTTTCTGGCCGCCAGACAAGGAAATCCCACGGGCACCAATGGGAACCTGATCACCACCTGCACAATCAGCAGACCTATCAGCTCTCATCAAATAAGGCAGTCCTCCTCGACCCGCTGACAGTGCGAGATTGAGTCGAGTGCTACTTGGAAAAGCCCGAAGGAGGGCCAAAACTCATCGACAACAAGCAGGTATCGCCTGGCAGGACGTTGAGATCCTCTCCCAACGATGCTGCTTGCAGCGCTTCTTCATAACCTGGGCAAGCACTCTCGATGTCTTGACAATTAGATTAGCTCCGGACTTATCCCCTGCAGGACCGGGGAGTCCAAAGCAACAAAGCAGTGTCTCTCTGAGCCCCAAGCGAAGTTGCTCAAAAGACTGGCCGAACAACACGTTCTCCTGTTCAGGGACTCGAACCCCAAGCTCTCCATTTGTTCACTGGCCATGTGTTGCAAATCCGGAACAACGTCCAGTCTGAAACAAGCTGTAGAGGAACGCTGTGAAAATGGCAATGCGAAGGGCACATTGCTGGGCTTGGTCTGAGCCAATGAGCCCCTTGGATTTGCCCTTGGCATTCCCACCCCGTGTGGGGCCGGATTCTCGTTATTCTGAGTCTACACTGTAGACCCGAGTCCGCGAGGAATTGGCTCCTGCAGTTCTTCTGCCCTGTGCCAGCAACGGAACATGGGACCCGATCTCTGGAGCATGCCTGCGGACTCGAGGCAGCAGAGAATGGCACTTGCCACTGCAGAACCGCAGCTTTATCTTCAGAAAAGCCACGAATCGCGTGTGAGATTTGCGTGCATCCGTGTATCTCTTGGGGCCGCTTTGCAATCGCAGGGATGGAAACAGGTCGTCGGCCGCTGCTTCAAGACTGGCTTAGTCACGTATAACTCCAGCATGACGGCTTGTCCGTGGCGGGATAAGGCTTCTGTTGCATTTCCTCGCCTTCCTAATCTTTGCCATACATGCGTGGCCATCGACCTTTGCCCGCGGGTGCGGCAAGCACGACGGAATTTGATTCATGAACGTCCTTCTTGCTTTCCTTGCCTGGAGCTTTGCCAAGCAGTTGCCTGATCCGGCTTCTAGCCTACTCATGCCTACTCAGTACCTAAAGGGCTGCGGCCCACAGCACATGCTTGGTGCCGGGTACAGCGGTTTCCGAGACGACTCCTACACTACAGATTCCTAGGCTACTTCAAAGTGAAGGCTTTCGAGGGATTCCGCTCAGCTAAGCAGCAGCACAGTTTGAATCGACCAGGACGAAAGCTTCTGTTGTATCGCGAATCCCTCTGGAAGCAATTTTCGACTCTGCCGATGCGAAAGGACGGCAGCGAAAAAGAACTGCATCAGGCCCCCCTAGAACCATCGGATTCGTGTGGTGCTTGTCAAGTGTAGATTGCAGAGAGTGCAACTACGAAATATGCTCGGAGCGTTGGGCGACAGCAACTTCTTGGTTGCAAATTGCTGAAGCGCCGTGCATGCTGCATGACACAATCTATACTTACTGGCTTGCAGGTGGAATATGAAAAACAAGGAGATGACATGGAATAAGCTTTTGAAGAATTCCAACACCTTTTTCCTCCCTGCATTCCAAGTGAGCTGGCTTGGAATATCAACCAGATGGAATCCAAATATGCAGACAAATACCGGTACATGAGCACAAACATACAGGAAGAAATCTTCTTGGTGCGAGGGTACCTCATTGAACCTCTATATACAGCACACAGCATCCACTCGGAATATGGGTCCAGGTAGAAATCTGAACATACAGGTACATGAGTACATGAAGACGTGAACACAGGCCCCAGCTTTTGCCCCTGCAAGATGCAGTGCAAGATGATTGCGCTTTGGAGCGCTGCTCGCTCTTGGCGCTCTCTGCATGAGTAAACAGCTAAACAACGACAAAGATACCTCGAGGCTGCCTGTCACTGCAGAGCAGCCACTTGAAATATGAGAATCCGGAATCTCTTTGTTCTCTATCTTTCACTATGCTAAAGATGAAAGGTTGTCATCTTTTAGTAGTCATCTTGGAGTGATCGGGGTTCGGTTTCGAGATTTTGGGGCCCCCCNNCCCCCCCCCCCCCCCCCCCCCGAGACTCTGTTGACCACTGAACAATGAAATGCAGCTTCGGCAATGGCTCTGGCGAGGATACCTCGACCCTTGGAATAAGGGAATCTCTATAAAAGAGTTTATCTTTCGCAATGGTTTCCTCGCAGTTATCACAAACACATACCTTTGAAGCCTGGAATCAGACATATCTTTATCTGTCTTCCGCTATGGCCCCTCAGTTTTTCTCTCAGTTATCGCTCGATATATTCCAAAGTGAGGGTCGCTTAGAATACCATTTTTCACGCGGCGACCCGCAACGACCCAGATGGAATAGCTCAATTTTTAAAATTAACAAAAAGGAACCACATTCCATCTGCAAGCCGGTATGTATAGGCTGCATTGACAAGTGCAGAAGGTAGGGTTGATGGGCATACGATTCCAGCTGCCCCAGCAGCATCAGTCTAATCCGCCACCTGGAGTTTAAAGACAATCTCTGTAGTATCTACTTATGCTCGCGTAACTCGGACAAAATAGGAATCTAGGGTTTGGCCCGGCGCAGCTATGCATCAATCCAAGCAGGACGCGGCGGAGTCTCCGCGCGTCGCCACGTCTGACCACGCCAGCTTGATCGTTTTGGCGGCAGGCAGCCTTTGCTCAACCATGTTGACTTGAGATCTTCGTAGCCTGAATCCCTGCAAACCGACCTCATCGTCACGGCAATCTCAGCTCCAAGCTGCTTTCGTGTCGCTTGTGACAGCCAGCTTTCCTTGACTTCATCCCCAGCGAACACTTTGGTGCCAGCTCTCATAGAAGCAAACTCTGTACGGCTCTACCTGAGAAACTCTCATTTTAAGCTCCGAGCCGACCATGCAATCCTCCTCGTTGCATCGCGAGACAATGATGGCCGAGCCTTCTCGCAATCCTCGTACCTTGGGAAGGCACATACCTTTGACCACTCTATGTACACACACATATATATATATGTATATACACATATAATATCGTATTAGTGCTGTTGTTGCTGTTGCTGTTGTCGTCGTTTTCCCACCCGCTCAGCTTTGTTGTTGCTGTTGCTGAGGTGGTTGCCCGAAAAAGTTTACACACATACATACATGCATGCATGCATACATACATACACGCACACACACACACACATTGACCCGGGTAGATCAGATAGACGGATAGATAGAGAGATCGTCCGCCATGCACCGAAAGAAAGCTTGCAGGAAGGAACATGCAGCTGTGGTGCTCCATTGTTGATGCCGTGAGGGTGCTTCCTGGGGAGCTCCTGGCTTTCATCAGGACGTTTTCGAGTCGGGATCTGCAGGACTATAAGATGTGTGAAGTTGCACGAGAAGATGTGGCCAACAAAGCCATAGACATGCGACCAGCCGTCGAGTACTTCAGCTGACGACCCATCATGAAAGTCAGTTGGCCGAAAATCTGGATCCCAGCATGCACACATTGATTCAGCACGCTGAAAATCATGCCCAAACCTTCGCAGGTTTAACAGCTTTGGCTTCGAACCCGTGACAGGCCAAGCAAAGCCCACCTCGGTGGAGTGATGTTCTCGGCGTCGCTGGGCAATCGGCCACGGGGCGTTGTGGCAGGGGAGGAGAACCTCAGCTCAGGGGAACTCACAGATTTCGAGAAGTAGATGTTGGTGCCCTGGTTGGAGATACGATCTAGTTGTCGATTCCGGCGATCTACGTAGCCGGAAGGGCTACAGTATGTGTTCGCCGCTTTGTGGGAGCTCTTCTTCTGCAATCGGCCGATAGCCTCGGAAGAACCCAACACGATGGAACCTGCTCCAGGGATCAGCCCCCGAAACATCCTGAAACATCTGCAGCCCTGATTCTGATTTTTCGGGGTTTTTCACAGCCGGGCAATGGCCGGACCTCTTCAGAATGATGCGGCAGGCAAAACCTGAACCCTTCCGGTTGAAGCCTTCCTTCCGGCTGCCTTATCTCCGCATTCTTGTTGCGCTTAGCACAAGATTTCGACTTGGCCTTCGGCATTCTGTCCCTGCCTTGATTGCATGCTTTTTCAATTGAATGCAAGCGATGGAACTGTACTGAGCGACGGATCCGTCACTCCGCCAGCGCGGCTCAAGAAGCGGCGGTTGGCAGAACTTGACAGGCTCGGGCCTCTTGCAAGTTCAAAAGTTGGAAGAGTCTTAACAAAGCCCAAACATAGCTCACTTCTGCCCCTGGCCCTTCAGCACAGGCAGACAATGAGCATTGAATGTGGCTGACCCAATTGCATGGGAATCAGGTGACCATGTGAAGACTACATGCTTCCAGTAGCTCAGTAGCTTGCACCTTTGCGGGAGTTACAAAATTATTGCGTACAACGTTCGCTCCACCTCCACCCGCAAATCGGGTAAGCCACTCCGAGTGGGAGAATCCAGCTGTAGCTTCGAAAAAAGCTGTTGCACTCTCCCTGGGCACACTCGAAACATTTGCAACCTTCTGAGGAAACTCTTGCCCCAGCCACGAAGCGTGGTTTAGCTGACCGCGCAAACCGAGGGCGCCGGTGTGGAGCCCTCATTTTCACAGAGAGGCTCCTGCTGCGATGCCCTCTCGATCACTTCCACCACTGCCTGCTACGGGTTGCTTGGGCTGTGAGATGCCTTCAGGGAACTGATGTCCTACAGAGGTCCGCCTGTGGGCCCGGGCTTTTCCGAAGCTCATCGGAAACCCGACTCGCCTTGCACGTCGTCAAGCACTGAGTTGGAATGACATGATCATAGTGACGACGCATGTCGCAACTTCTGGCTTTGCCTTGCATTATGGTCCGACCCGCTAAGGCCCTGTAGTCCCGAACGTCTGCTCTCTGATGTTTACCCTGACACCGGCTCATCGACGATATCTCCAGATATCTCACACAGGCAACCGGACAACATGTTTTCTGCTGACACACACAGGCATGACACACCCACGCGAAAACAATGCTGGAAGAAAAGACATCTACAACCTGACTCTTCATCACTGCACTGCTCAGCCGCAGGCATTTTCCCTGTAGGTCTCCAGCTTCTTCAGCACCTAGGCTGATGGCTTCCTTGCAGCCGGTGGCCTGCTGCAATAAATTTCAGACAAAGAAGACTATGCCTATGCAATACTACGCATTATCCTTGGATCCGAGTTGTGCGAATACCGTGTTCACCACTGAAGCCCGGCGGCATCGTCCACCGCCGCTGCAACGGTCGCGGCTGTCAGAGTGGCAGGCTTGAGCAGCGTGCCGCAGCCCTTCTGGAGGAGGATGCGTGCCTGACCGACAGGCTCCCAACCCTGAGATGCAGTCGTTACTCACTCACTACGCATGTGCGTTTATCCTGTATGCCAAT